TACGCTCCAGAGCTGCGTCCTTCCTTCTGCAGCTCAAACCATTCCATCTTTGGCCACCGGGAGACCTCACTGGCAGCCGTGAGGTCACCTCCCTTTGGCAAACCCATACTCTCCTATTCTCGTCAATAGCGGTAACAAGGCATCTTCATTTCCCCGAGTACTGAACGCTGATGAATGCTGACGATACAATGGCCACACTTGGATTCAGTATACTATTTTCTCAATCTTTGATCACATTCAAATCTCTCTGCCATGTCGCATGCGTGTTATCTTGGGTGTGAGACTTTGTTGCCACCTGCTACACATGTGATGGCCTGGGCAGACAAGACACAGGGTGTGCCAGGCACCTAGCACTTCAGCTACCAGATATGGAGCAAGTCTTGCTGTGTCAAAGCTCTCAGGGGGGAAATGCAGGCCTGATCCTTCCTCACAGGCTGCAAGGGCCCCACCAGGGAAATGCAGAGGACTGATGACAGTCCCAGGGGCCCATGCTGTGCCCTTTGCTAGGCAGTACCCAGCCCTTGCTCTCCCTCTCAAAGTGATGGCTGCCTTGTGCCCAGAGCCCTAGCCCGGGGGCCGTGAGTGCCAAGGGAAGCACATGCTTATCCTGCCTGTGCTGGCCAAGAGGCCTCGGCCCTCCTTCCCTTCTCCCACAGCTGCACAGAAGTCTGCGCCTGGGCTCTGGTGGGGAAGGAGGAAGGAGAGTCCGCTAAGAGCTTGAGAGGCAATGGCCCGGCTCTTCTTGCCCTCTTGCACGCAGACCATACCTCCCCTAGCATTTGGAGCCCGCTGCACCTTGAGCAACTCATTCCCACCTACCTCAAGCTCCCAGAGGGAGTGCTCAAGTTTGTGTCGGCTGCCTGTACCTCCCCAGCAGCCTGCATGGTGCTGGGCTGAGAAGCCAGGCTGCTAGAGATCCATGGGGTAAAGGATCTCACACAAGGGCCCGGGGACAGGCACTGCAGAGGCTGTATGTATGACGGGCTGGGATGCTGGGATGCCAGCCAAGGACAGAGCAGCCTCTGACCTTCTGGGAGCTCACTATCAGGAAGGGCTGCTTACCACTGGATTTGTGTTTCCTGCATGGGAAACACGGCCAAAGTTTTTCCTCCCAAATATCCCACTTGCCTTGCAGTAGGGAATTGCTGGGGATGTGACATTCCTTCCTCAACTGGCTGGCCAGCTGTGGCCTTCTGACCCTAGCTCTGCCTCTGCAACCCTGAGCTGGCAAGGCTGTCAAGCATCACCTAGACAGCTGTGCCCCAACCATGCCCTGGGCTGGGGCTAAGCAGGAGTGACTGCATATCCCTGTGGCCAGTTGTTGGACCAGACTTTGTAGGCCTCATTCCAGTTCCTGGGCAAGAGGACACACACCTCTCTCTGGCAGCCTGCACCAGCCAGTTTGCTATTTCTTGGAAAGAAGTTTAATTCACCACACTGGGTGGAAGGCTCTGATGTAGCTTGCTTCCTATTCTTGATCATTGTCCCCCAGCCCCTTTTTACTTTTCTCTGGTTTTCCTCTTTCTAGAAAAGGCTAACAGCAGCCATCTGTGCCAGGCAGCTTTGCCTGGGGAAGGCCAGAGGTGTGTCAGGGCCCCATCCTTGCAGTGGACATCACAGGAAAACAGTTCTCACTGGGGCTTGCTGGGGCAGCTGGCACCGGGCACAGGTGCAGGAGGGGATCTGCTCTGGCAGGTTGTGGATTGCTCAGGGCCACCTGGCTCAGGTGCTCTCCTAGACACGCCCATCCCGCAGGGTGTATGCACATGCAGTGTGGGAGGCACGCACAGAGCCCTGGGAGTCGGGAGGCAGTCGGCAGGGTCTGTCCACACCCCGGCCAGCAGGCTGACTCTGCTTGAGGGACCCTGTGAGGGGGGAAGCAGATGGTTCCACCACTATCCTTACCAGCAGGAGCATACTGGGCAGTACTACACAAAGACCAATGGACACGGGAATGAAGAACGGGGGCCACACTGCCAGCACATTGGTAGTTCCCCCGGCCAGCAAGGGGGAATTTCATCTTCCAAGTGGTTAACACATCTCTGATCCTGCGTTAGTCCACACGCATCTGTCCTTTAGCCACTCACTATGTTATCTACTTCTTTTTTCTCTTATGAACTTTGATGCATCTAACTCATCCATTGGAGAGGGAGAGGCATTCACACTCACTCCATGCCACAACAAAACCCAGGCACTCTGGGAAAGGGTACCAGTCCACTCACTACTAACACTTAGCAGTCATGGCCACAAGACCCAGTCTAATCCTCCTCCAGCACCAGCTACAACAGGTCAAGGTTTTTCCTATGTACACCTGCAAGCTTCGCAATGACACTCGGTGCTATAATTGTTCTCACGTGGCAAGGCACACAGAGCAATGTCACCTGAGAGGTCAGGGCAGCAGCTGCCACACCAACCAGACAGGTTCACACCCTTGGCCTTAAGAACCCCACCCCAGCTGCACTGGCCCACCCAGTGCTCTCCTCCCCACCCTCACAGCCACAGTGAAGCCCCAGGCAGTACCACTTCCCGGGTGAGTGGCCATCTGCCCCACCGTGGATGCCTCTAAAGCTGGAGCGTGAGCGTGCCTGTGTGGCGGCTCCAGGCCTCCCTGTGGTGACGCCACCTGCTCACTCACCCACAGGGCATGAGGACTATGTGCTTTTCTGAGATTCACTCGAAAAAGGCATCTCTCTCCTTCCCAGGGACCATCTAGGGGATAGCCCCTAGTTGCAATAAACTCCCAAGCCCTGAAGCAAGTTCTTGGTCTCTGATCAACAAACTCCTTCTCCCCACATGGAACTCTTAAAGGTTCTAGCTTCCGGTCCCTGGTAGCAATCAGGCCTGAGATGTCCTCGCTCTGGCTGGATTATAATCCTGTCTGGGGACCAGAGGCCAGCAGCGCATGGCATTAAAAGCAGGTACATGGGGTGTGGCCGGAAGCCCTGCTTCCTTCTGAGCCCCCAAACCAGGACCCCACAGTGAGCTGCCTTCCTCCCCATCCAGCCTCAGGGAGCTTGAGCTCATACCCCACAGGCCAACTCAGTCCAGCTGTGCCGCTTTCCCTTGCAACCTGCTGCTGTTTCTGAGTGGCGAACTTGTTAAGCCTGGTTCCCACTGTGCCAGAGTGCTTTAGGTCACAGGAGCTGGAACCAGAAATGCCTTCTTAACAAGCACAGCCCAGAGACCCTGTCTGAGCAGCGCCACTAGAGGAACTTGTGAGCAGTTCTGCCTGGGCCTCCACCAAGTGGCCAACGCCAACGGCCCATAGGGGTGGGACGATGGCAGACACCTGCTCAGGCTATGTCAGACCTGACACACGCCCACAGAAGCCTCCAGCTCCTTCAGTGCCCATGCAGGTCTCCATCATTACGCATGTCCATGATCTTGTGCAAACTCAGCTAGGATGACGGCTATGACAGCTCATTTCTTACTCAAGTTGTGGCGCTGTCTTAACAGTGCCTAGGCAGAAACTTTCAACAATGGGACCGCTGTGAGCAAGTGTATAGGATTAGAGAAATGGTGAGCTCACGCCTGCTGAGGGGAGCAGGCACTTCAGCAGGTGACCTGGCAGCTATGTGGAGGGCAATGATGGAGACCAACCATACCGAGGGGCATCAGTAAAAGAGCAAGGGACAATTTCCACGGCAAGAGTTGGGGCAAGGGTATTTAGTTGCTTCACATGCACCCGAGGGTCTGGGCTGACTAGCCCACCATATTCTCTGCCACTGTTTTACTTCCAAGTCTTCATTGGACTCTACAGAAGCCTAAATTCAACCTCTTGTGCGTTTAGGCAGTCTGCTGGAGCTAGAATGACTCTTGGACCCGTCACCTGACCCCCTGCTTGCTCTATTGCCATTCTAACTAGCTCCCCACATACTAGATGTCTGTCCGGCTGTGCCAGGACAAAGCTCAGTTCCAACATCTGTCTTGATCACATGAACTGTGGATAATAAACATGGTTGGCATTTCAGGCTATGTATACTGAGAGATCATGAACGGCAAGGAAAAAAGGGGAAGAGTGAAGGCCAGACAAGCACCTGGCTTCTCATTCCCAACTCTTTCTTCCGCCTTGGAAAGCATCATCTGTAATCCTCATGGCTTTAGCATTGCATGTTGGAGAAACACCTCAAAACCCAACAGGAGATACCATGAACTTGCCATTCAGATGACAGTAACGTCAGCACACTCTACTGTTCAAAGATCTGACACACCAGGCCTGGCGCAGTAGCCTAGTGGCTAAACTCTCGCCTATGGGAGCAGGTTCGTATTCTGGCTGCTCCACTTCCCATCCAGCTTCCTGCTGTGGCCTGGGAAAGCAGTTGAGGACGGCCCAAAGCCTTAGGACATTGCACCTGCTGGAAGAAGCTCCTGGCTCCTGGCTTTGGATCAACTCAGCTCCAGCTGTTGTGGCCACTTGGGAAGTGAACCAGTGGATGGGAATTCTTTGTTTCTCCTCTCTGTAAATTTGATATCCCCCCCCCCCCCCCCAATATCCGACGCGCCTCTACTTCCTCTGTTGGTGTACAAATAATGACATTTCCCAGGAAAATCCGCACTTCACCTTCTTGGTCACAAATACTTCCAAACACAGACAAGTATAAGCTGGGGTTGGGTCCCTAGTCTGACACTGCTATAATCCTGACTGCCAGCACTGCCCTCCTGACTGCAGCTGAGCACTCTAGAAACACAACCGAGTCCACATTCCCAACAGGACAGGAGCCACAGCACAGGACTGCCAGGTCCCCCAAAGGCCGCATGTTCTGCGGCAACGTCTATAGCCCCGAAACTTCAAAGCCTGCGGTGGTGAGCCGAGACACCCCCAACCCCGCTGCTACCAGCCCGCAGGCTGAGCTGGGCCCTCCCAGCCAAAGGGAAGCAGCTCTGGTTCTGCAAGCCCAGAGATGTTCTCTCCTCTCTCAGGCTTCTACACAGGCCCAGAAGTTTCCAGAAGGCTCATTCCTTCTGGCCTTTGCAGGAGGCAAAAAGACACCACCACCAAGAAGGATAAAATAAGTTTTTATTTATAGTCTTATAGTAAAGAGGGAAGCCTTAACTTGCAAGACAACTCTTGGGCAGTATGTACAACATACTTCTTATTTCCATGGAATGGAATCAAACATGGACTGAGACTACCGAGTACACACTAGAAATCAGCAAATGCTGGGAACGAAGTAGGAAAGAAACAAAGGAATGAGACCTAAACACACAAAGCCCTTCCCTTGGACCTGCTGACCGCAGCCAGAACCAGGGCTGGGTCACACAGTGCAGACCGGGTCCAGGACAGCAGGAAAGAGTAGGCAAGGGGCAAGGAGGGCAGGGAGGCCGCACTCAAGTGCGGGTTTAGTACCAGGTAAATCGCTCTTGGTATTTACATACAAAAATCAACGGGCTCTATGTCTTAGAAATACACACAGAAAGAAAGGAAGATTTGATCATTACTTTATGAATCTGTCGCTTTGCATTACCGACATCATCAGAAGTAGGGACAATTCACTCAGATTCAAATTTCAATAGCAGGAAATAAATATCAAAACATCATCACTGGCCCTCAGTACAAAATCTCTACCCCGCCCAATCTCCCCTCCCTGTCCCGCCCCCAGAATCCACCACCTCCCCACCACTCACTGGTGGCAGCTTCACTGCTGCGATCTCCCATACATACCACTCAGTGCTGCGCAGCCATCCCCAGGGCTGGCCCTGCAGGCAGGAACAGCTGCCTGAGAGAGGCAGGAGATATGGCCCCAGACTCTGCCAATCTGTCCCCACTCGTGTGTGCCACAAACTTCTCCAAGGATCTTGGTCTTTCGATATGAGCGATAAATAACTCTTTAGAAGAAAGAAAAAACCCTTACACAGGAAGGGAGTAATTCTGATTATTCCACATTGGTCATCTTCCCGATGCAGAGCAGTTCACAGATTCATAAGGTCTGTCCCACGCAGGTGAGGGAGCCCCGGAGGCCAGGCGCAGTGAGCCTGCCGCAGGTGCCGGGCGGTGGGCAGGACGCCATGTGCTGCGAGGTCTGGCTGGCCGTCTGTCCTCCACAGAAAAAGCTGCCAAGTTGGGGGATTTTGGTTGAAAAACTCCTGGTGGGGACAAGGAATCCCTGAAGGGAATAAATTCTTTAAAAATAATGGAAATGGGGAAGGAGAATGAGAGCTGTTGTCCAAGAGCTTCTACATTAAAAAAAAAAAAAAAAAAAAAAAAAAGAGAGAAAGAAAAAGAGTCTCTTAAATGGTTGTGAAGGTTCTACTGATGAACGGAAGGAGGCCGAGACGGGGGACCGACAGTTTTTATTGCTGGCCTGCCCCACGCAGCTTAGTTGGCCTCCACTCGGAGCTTCTTCCTGCTTTGGGGCTCTTCGGGCTCCGACTCAGAACTGGAGTCCGAGCCCCCATCGAAGGCAGAGATGGTGCTGCCCTTGGCGTTGGTGTAGAGGCTGCTGTCTGAGGAGGGGTAGTTGGTCTGCAGTTGGGCACTTGACCTCGCCTTCTCCAGTGCACGGACTGCAAGGCAACCAAGGGAACGTGTTACAGCCTTCTACAGATGGGGGGCCACCAAGCATCCGCCTCAGGGTCCAGCCTGCTCTTCCTAAGGGCTTGCAGGCCAACCCCCACAGCACGGGTGGCCCTCCCTCCTTTCCCAGCTGGAGCTGGGGGCACAGCAACACAGCAGTCACTGTGCAATCCCTCCTGACCCTGAAGAGAAGGCACAGGATATAACCACCTTGCCACACAAGAGCGGAACGCGAGCTCCCCGTGGGAGTCAGCAGGGCAATGACGAGAGAAGCCGGCCCAGGAATGCCAGGTTCCATGAGGGGGTGAAGGCCCCACCACAAAAGGAGAGGTGAACTCAGGTGGCTTAGCCACAGAACAGTTTGGGCTTGGCTCTCATGTACAAATCCATTTGGAATGACAAGCTGGACAATTGAAGAAAGTCACCAACACACACCAAGTACCTGGGCCTTTTGACAGGAGCCCTTACATGCAGGTGGCAGCCCGGTGACCAACCCGCTCACACCGCCCACTACCCAGCCCTTGGTTCAGCTCAGCTGGAGCCCGGAAAGTCAGCCCATTGACTGTTCTGCATTGTATTGTATGTGAGGTTTCTAACCCCAGTCGTTACTTGCATTTCCTTTTACTTGCATCTTCCATGAGGGAGGAAGAGAAGTGAATTCCCCAGGAACAAAGACCTTGATCAGCTCTCGCTTTCCCCTGTGGTTGTAGGAAAAGGCGGGTGTGAGCATTGGAGAACAGCAGGGGCCTGGCCCACGGGCTGCCCTGGTTGGACTACCAGTGACCACGGCTCGGGCTCACTGTCCTTGCACACCTTGGAACCTCCAGTACTTACAGCACTTTCCACTCCAGACTTCCAAGCTCTTGGCAGACACCTGATGCCAGGTGCAAGCCCTACCATAGATGCACACCTGAGCCCCGAGGCGGGGAGAGATCCAGGTCTGCTCGGGCCAACTGCCTAGCCTCCACTGTCTCCTCGGGCCGTCCTGTTGACAGCTCCTCAGCCCCGCAAGGCAGGGCTGAGGCTGCTTCGGAGCACAGCTCCATGACCGTTTGGACCCTACAAGCCCAGGTGTGGAAGCCCTGGCTGACCAGGGCATGGCAGGGCCAGGCGCCCCACAGGTCCAGCAGCTCACCTTGCTGCTCCAGAAGAGCATTCTGCCGCTTGAGGTCGTCGATGTCCTGCTGGTGTGTGTGGTTTTTCCTTCGCATATACTGGATATACTCTGTGGCTTTGTCTAGGATTTGGGCCCGGGATGCCTGTTGCAACAGAAGAAACACAGGGAACAAAATAAAGATTGAGTCCAGACAGAGAGGGAGCAAACCGTGCCTTTCTGTGGTAAGGGCATGGGCTGCTGGAGACCGGAGAGGGACGTGGAAGGCGGCCAATGAAGAGCCTAACAGCTCGCCAGGGCCTTCTTTTGTGCCAGGTGCTTCCCAGAGCTTACCTCCTGGGCGCAGGCTCAGAAGTAGCTGCCTCAGGAACCCAAAACCTGGAGAAGCAGACTGGCTCACTCCAATCACTAGCTAGATAGTGGCACAGCCTGGACTAAACTTGGGTCCACCTGACTCCCGACTATAAACTCCTCCCAATCCCCTGTGGTTCTTTAGACCATTTTTAAGTCTTCAGCAAGGCTACATCTGAAAGCATTAAAACACCATTCAGATCCAACAGCGGGCCACCAACTCTGCGAGGGCCCGACTGCGCAGCTGCTGCACAGACCAGAGCAAGAGCCTCGTTGGAGCTGGCTTGGGACGGGTATGGAAGGGAAGGCCGTTTCCCATTAGGGTCTTGATGAGAGCCACACCTTCAACTGCCCGACTTGTTGCTCAGTCACTCGGTCAGCCCTCCTGACTACAGGGATGTTCATGACAGCTGTCAGCACTTGATGTCAACACAGGAAGGCCAGGAGATTGGGCCATTTCCACCAGCAGCCACGCCTGCACAATGGCCACAGAACTCCTGGAATGTGTCCTAGCTGGTGAACAAGGTAACACACCAATAAAATACACATCAGGTTTTTGTACCACTGGAAGTTGATGGGGTTTGGGGGAATCCTCTGGGTCACACACAGGCTCAGGGTGACTTAGGCTGGCCAGCCAGTCAGTCCAGCTGGTAGAAGGGTAAAAAGCCTGAGTGCCCAAGGCAGGACATTCATGCCAGGGCCTCCTCAGCAGAAGAAAGACTCAGTATTCCAGCAGGCATGACTTGCCAATACCACATCACAACCCCAATGGGTCCTGAACAGCCAGAACCTTGATGGGGGCCACAGTGCACATGTGTTGGTACATGGTACACCACTCACACTCAGGGTAGCAAAACCAAGCCCAGCCTCTTATGAAATGCCAACCACTTCCACTGACAGATCTCAGGTGGAGCTGGCATCAGAGTGGCTTTGCTTGTTCGCCAGTGCATGTGCTCATGGTACCCTGAAGGCAAATTCTTTAAGAGGAGCTGTTGCTATGTAATCAGCATTTTATCTGGGGAGAGTGATGCACAGGGTGCCAGGCAGGCGCCGTTGGGGGAGACAGAAGGTCTGGATCATGGCTTCTGTGGCCAGAGGCTTACTTGCTCTCCAGTAAGGAGATAAATATTATCTCCCTGCAGACAAATCACAGGGCAGCGCTGACAGGTGTAACCTGACTAGTACAGATTAGAAAGGCCGGGGAGACTGTCACTGCGTGCCAAGCATGGGTCTCACTGCTACCCACACACACTCCTATCTCAACACCGAGCCCCGCATTAGACCGGGTGGAATCTGTGGGAAAGGACCCAGGGCATGGGGAAGAACAGCACCAAAAGGGGCATGGGGTGAATAAGCCAGCTGTTTTTCTCTGGGTAAGTCAACATGTGGAAGGGGAAGGAGGGCTCAGCACAGGACAGCGCCAATGCTGTTTCCCTTTTCTGCAAAAAAGGACCTTATTAGGGACTATTATGTGATAAAAGGAAAAAAGAAAAGCACATAATTATAAAGGACTTACATCCGTGTTCTACATATTGGAAATGAAATTAAAACTGACTATAAACAGTCTGGTGACAGCAGGTTAAGCTGTTCCCACATCCCAGGGCTGGTGTGACCCCAGGCTGCTGTGCTGCTCATCAGCTGCCTACTAACATGCCTGGGAAGGCAACGACAGATGACGGCCCGAGTGCTTGGGGCCCTACGACCCACGCGGGAGACTTTGGATGAAGCTCCTGGCGCAACTCTGGCTGCCGTGGGAGTAAGCCAAGGAGATGGGAAGCCTTTCTTTCGCCTGCTTCTGAGGCTGTGTCTTTCGAGTGCATATATTTCAAGTATATATAAACATATATACTTACTTGATATGTTTATATCGAGTAATATAAACTTGATATAAATAAGGAGACAGGTGCATCCTGTACTCGTTGTTCAAAGGCACTGTGGCCCACGCTTGCTACTGCTTGCCAGAGCCGAGACAGCCATCCACCTCCCGCCCTCTCCGTCACTGATGGAACCGCCACGCATGCTTACATCCCACCCTCTCTCTAACTTTGCCCAGGCTAAAACTACTTTTTCACTAACTATCCACAGGAGACAACACTCCCTCTGTGTTGTCCCAGACGGTGTCCCCAGACAGTGCTGTTCAGAGTGACCATGCCAGCACAAAGTCTTTGTGCCACCATCTTCTCCTTCAAACGCTACACAGAAAACTAGGAAAGTGGTACCAGGAAATGAAGGTGAGCGGCACAGATAACATGACAAGTCAAAACCCACCAGTGACAGCAAGGAGGTTTTGGACTAAGATAAAATTCACACATGCTTGGAATACAGAATGACAGGGAACAAGAGGTCCCCAAAGCAAGTTGGACAGCTTTGAACCTGGCTCAGGCCTGTGGAATGCACTGCATACGCCTTCCTCCAGCCCCGACTGAAAGCAGAAGGGCCTCGGGTCACGTCGGGTGCCTTGGCCCCTCCCTAAGTCCACAGGAATGTTGCAGTTCACCTTGCTCTTCTCAGGCAGGATACTCAACAACAACAACAACAACAAAGTACAAAAATTACAGAATCCCTTTCCCAAAGGTGCATGTGTGAGCAGTGCAGGGGAGCAAAAGTGAAAGACTAAACCTAGACCACATGAGGTTTACCTAAAACCCCCTCCCTTCCATCCACCTTCCCCAAGTCCACAGGACACCTGAGCAGCGGAGTGAAGGCGTGGGCAGTAAGCAAGCAGCAGGAGGCCCTGGGCGTGACTGCCTGGACTCTGAACCGGCACTGGGCTTTCGGTTTCTGTTTTCTAAAAACGTTCTTGGTCAGCAGTCAGTTGACAGTCTTCACGTGTGTGTGACTGTCCAGAAGGAAGCTGGTGAGTCGACGTGTCCACTGCTAAGGTGCTGCCTTTGAGTAACTCAGGTACCTAAATTTGTTCCCCCATCCCCACCTCAAGCTAGGTTTGACAGCTGGAAGCCATTCATTGGGATTCTACTTTTTGGAACAGAAATGACTCTCCAACAGTTTAGACACTGCCCTGAGACAGAACACATCCCAGCTGAACACACCTGTCAGCCTCTCGCACCTCTGGGAGTCTCAACAAAGGACACTGGCAGCCCCGGCAGAGTTCATGCCAAACCCACGGTGGCCCAAAGCACTACAGATGGGGAAGATGAAGGTGGCAGCTCTGAGTACTGCTAAGAACTAGGCGTCCTCATATGGCCTGGTTTATACATGAACAACCTGAGGCATAGAGCAGGTGCTTACCTGCTGTTATGCAATCAGAGGAAGCCGAGTCAGAATGTGAACACAGGACCCTGGGTCACTCAGGGAAGAACAGAGGCTGAAGTGGAGCTACCAGAAAAGATGGGCAGGCGTGAAGGGCCAGAGAAGGCAAACATGCCAGAATCATTGACACAGAAGTCATGACGAAGACTTGAGTCTTTAGAATTGGGTTGGAAAGTGAAAACCAGTAACCATACTAAAACAGCGTGGCAAGCAGACTGTCTTCTGATAGAGTCGTGAGAAACAGCAAGCAGGGTCCTAGCAGAAGTCTGGAGTGGGGAGGTGGCTGGCGAGCAGAGGGGGCTTGGCCCGAGAGAGCAAGGAAATGTTAGTGACCCCAACCCAAGACAGCGTGACTGTTACCACGCATTAAGGTCCCTGGGGATTCTGGAAATAGTAAACACCGATGCTCAGATGAAGTCCAATGCTATTAAATCACACAGAAGGTAAAGGTTCTCAAACACTGTCATATACAAGCAAGAGCTGCAAACGCGTGTGGAGCTGTACACTGTACTGCAGTAACTTGGTTCTGCGTAAGGCTCCATGTTGCTTTAGAAGGTGGTGGGATGGGTGAACAAAGAGCAGGGGCTGGCAGCCCTCCTGGAGGCATGAATGCCAGCTTGAGAAACAATGGTCTGGCCTGTACGTATCACTCTTCCTTTTTGTTGAAAATACAGTCTCCTGGGCCCAGCTCAGTAGCCTAGTGGCTAAAGTCCTCGCCTTGAATGCACCAGGATCCCATATGGGTGCCAGTTCTAATCCCGGCAGCTCCACTTCCCATCCAGCTCCCTGCTTGTGGCCTGGGAAAGCAGTTGAGGACAGCCCAATGCTTTGGGACCCTGCACCCGCGTGGGAGACCTGGAAAAGGTTCCTGGTTCCCGGCTTCAGATTGGTGCAACACCGGCCGTTGTGCTCACTTGGGGAGTGACTCACTGGACAGAAGATCTTCCTCTGTCTCTCCTCCTCTCTGTATTATGTGATTTTGTAATGAAAAATAAACAAATCTTTAGAAAAAAAAAATACAGTCTCCTGGGCTGCTGTTACAGTTGCTCTATTCTCCCAAGAACCAAACTGCCAATCCTGGAGAAACAGAAAACAGAACTGTCATCAGTCTGACTTTGCACTATGACTTACTTTGAAGAAAAGGTTATCTATGCATTTCCTAAAACCTCTGAAAGCAGAGGGAGCGCTAGGGCAAAGCCAGCACCACTTGTCTGAACAAACCATCTTATGAAAGCAGAAACTAAAGCTCCTGCACAACTGATGTAGGTCTCTACCAAACCAGTTCCTTCAAAAACGGAGTCCACCAGTGCCAAGCAGGCAGGCCGGAAGGCTGTGGGGTCAGAGCAGGCCTGGCTAAAAGGTTCCGGGCAGGTACCCTGTTCCTAGCACACTGCCACGTGAGCCCTTCGCAAGGGGCTTACCTAGAGCCTGGGGTCACACATGTATTTCAGGGTCAATGCAAAAATCACTTACAAACTCTGCACTTCCCCATGTGCCTTTGTAGCCTGAGTGAAGGTATGGACT